CAGGTTTGGGGGGCACAGCACTGCTGTGGTAGCCATTGTGTCACACATGGCAAATGTCAAGCACCACCTCACTGAAAGCTCAGCATCCTCAGAGTCCAAGAAGAGCAACTTGGACTCTGCACCCTGGGTTTCCGCAGGGGTGGGCTGCAGTTGCTGTGAGGGTTCTACTGACTGAGTCCCTTTGCTAAAGTCATTCCTTGCCAGGAGCCCACAAGGACATCTAATCCATTCCCAGTTACCCATGGATCCTACTTTGGCAGCATAGCCTTGGAGGCTTATGACAGATCCACGATTATGGTGTTCACCTGGCAGTTCGTGTTGCACGTCTCCTGCCAGGTGGCAAAGTAGCCATAGAAACCAGGACCCCTCGCAGGGGCCTGATCAACACCAACAGTGGGTGCGTTGCCTGAAGGAAGGAGGAGTTAACTGTAGTAATTTAAGGAGTGAGCAGAAGAGGGGGCAGGGTTAGAGGGACAGAGAGGGACTGAAGGTCCTGCAGCAGTCACATTTCTTGACAGGCCTTAGGGAACTCCTGCCTTCAGAACATCTGCACATTGCTCCCAAGGAATAGATGGGCCCAGGTCAGCTGACCCATGCTGAAGAAAACTGAGCGGTTTGAGGAGTTTCTTGGAGATATCCCCTCCCCCTCTAAGATTTCTCAGATGCTTAAAACCAGAGTGGTTGCAGCTGTTTTTGCCAACTTAACATTCTTCAGGCAACTTAAGCCTCACCTAGCGACACCTTGTTTCAGCTTTTTTTGCCAAAAGAAAAGCTAACTCACAGTTCTAAACAGCTCATGATGGATCCATCACACCCAGAGCTATATAGAAGTGGCTGCAGGATAGGAAGCAACTGGTAGATATGTTCTCCCACACCTAGGTGTTGTCATGACACAACCCAGCATGCTTAGAGTTGTGGAAGTCAGAATTATCTGGCACCCTCATTCAACTTGAAATCATGTTTGAAGTTATTTGGATGAGATTCACTCCACACAGACTATGTGACCCATACCCCATGATTCTTCAAGGCTAGAATCATCTTTGTGTATATGTATGTGCCAAGCATAATCATAGAGGTCTGATCCAGGAGGACAGAGGCAGAGCTTAGTCCCAGAGTAGAATACACTTACACATAACAAGAGCTCTAGCCTCTTGGAAACCAAGAAAGCATGACTTTGCAAGCAAAGAGATTTCCATTCACCTGAGGATGGGGCTCATTTGTAAGTGCTTTATGCTCCCACATTCAATTTTGAATTGAGAAGCTAGGGAAGCTGGGGGATCTGCTTCTGGTTTCCTTGTCTGCCTGACTCCTAAAGGGAGGTAGAATTCTGGATAGGATGTCCCTGGAAAGCCAGTATTCCATGGAACGGGAACACAGAGAAGCAGGACCTTCAGCTGATGGTGAAGACCAAGCCTTTCTACTTAGAAGTAATTTCTCAAGGAACTAGTCTGAACTCTGTGAGTAGAACTGGAAAGGTCAAGGCTCATGGACTTTGCTGGAGAGATAGTCCTTCCTTTTGGTCGCCTGTATTTCCACAGTCTCCTGCTTTTACCCAACTCTATCAGCAGCTGCTTTCTGTAACCAGCAAGGCACCAGCTGCAGGTGCAGGAGGTTCTTACCGAGCAGATAACCAGAGTCACCCCCACCACTTTGAGCCAGTCCATGGCACTGTTGGAACTCTCCCTCCCATCCGGCAAGAGAACACAGAAGAGATGAATCTAGAAACAGCTCTGCTCTCCACAGGGAAGGCCAGGCAGTGACAGGCACTTAGGAACAGTCACAGCTCTATTACTACCGCCTGCAGTCAGCCCAGGGGTGGGAGTGGGGTGGGGAGAGGGGGTGGGAAGAGGCAGCAAGGAGCTCATAACCAGCAGTGTTCCCTGTAAATTAAACATCAGTTACCTTCTGTGTCCATCTGCCATAATTGAAGGCAGGAAGAGTGTCTTGGTGATTAACTGGCAGTAATAAACTTTCTGATCAAAGTGAGTATCAGAGGTAGCTAGAGAGATTATGTTTATAAATAAGTATCTGCAACGTGTGCATCCTTGAAGATGGGAAACAACTGAAACACCCGTGTTTAGCTTAGGCTGTGTGCAGGGTGAAATAGCAAGTTTAGCTCTAAAGTTCATGGGAAACAACGGTCAAATGAATAATGGGGCTCAAGTAAAGAAGCCCACAGCTCTGTGCCCTTTTCTGGTTGGCTTTTTTAAAAAAATTCCATATTATTGCTCATTATTATTATTATTATTATCATTATTATTTGGTTTGTTTGTTGGCCCAGAGATCAGACACACTGGTTCATCTCTCTGGCTTTCCTGTGCCTGAAGAGGGAGGAATTGGTTTTTGAACAGCAGACGAGAGAGTGCCTATCCCCAGATGGGTGGGAGCTATACCTTGAACAGCTTATGGAAAGTTCTGTCTCTTCAGTCTTCCCAAGAAGACTTCCCTCTCTTCTCCCTTTGGCTCTTGTAACTCTGTCCCCTCCCCAGTATTACTTTCTTTGAATTGTAAAACATACAGAAATTATTGAAAGACAAAAATTCCAATAGGTCTAAAGCTTGTGGCAATTGAAGATTACTAATTTTCATTCCCAAGAGATCCTGTTTTAATGGTTCCCAAAGGGAAACACAACTTATTGTACTGTGAAAACATTGAATTTTTGCAGCTGGAGTGTGTCTCCAGGGTGTCAAGCGTGCCCCTCCAGCAGGCACCAGAAGCCAGTAACGCCTTGCAATAGCTCATCTTCCTCATCACCTTGATTGGGTTTAGAATCACCATGGAAACACACATTTGAATGTGTCTGTGAGAGCATCTCCTGAAAAGTTTAACTGAAAAGGGAAAACCAACCTTAAATGTGGATGGCACCATTCCATGACCCAGACAGAATAAAAAGGGGAACGCAAGCAGAGTACCACCTTTCTCTGTCTGCTTCCTGACTGGGGATGCCATGTGACCAGCTGCCTTCCTCATGGTCCTCCACCATGCCGTCCCTGCCATGATGGACTGTAACCTCAAAGTGGAAGCCTAAACAAGCCCTTCCTTAAGTTGTTTTTGGCTGGAATTTTGTCAAGGCAACAAGAAAATTAATGCCCAGTGCAAACGACGTGTGCCCCATCAACAAGCTTTGTTTTGTTTTTCAAAAAGGACCAAAAAAAAAAAGCTTCCACAGCTGTGTTCGGCCTTGTTGAGAGGACTTCTAAGACAATGGAGGCTGCGTTGTCTGCAAGCAGCAGCACTTGGGCTGAGGTGGGAGATTCCTCTCCACATTTCAAGTGGAGCTTATTAGACTTGCTGCTGGAGGGGCTCGCACATCACAGAGCGCACTAATTGGCTGCAGCACTCTGCCTCCAACCCATCTCCATCCTCCAATTAACTCCCATCATTCTGTTGTCCAGGGCAACCTGCTGCTGCCTCTGACTTGGCATTTCTGTTTTGGATTTGGGGTTTGGTCAAAAAGTCCCTCAAAGCTAACTTCATGAAACACTTTAAATATTCCATTTTTTTTTAATTGGAACTCTTAATTAAAGCACTTTTCATGAAGCTTCAGTCACGACTTATTTCCCCACATCCTTCAGTACTTAACTCTCCAAGCAGAATTGGAAATATTGATAGAAAGTGTAAGTCCTGCCCTCCTGCTGAAAGCGGAGTATCAGGTTTCGGCTCAAAAGAGCACCATTACCTTTAGCTGTCACGGATCCGTACACTTGATCGATAAACTTCAAATATTATTAGAGGTGGAGGCTTCAGAGATTTGCTCTGTTCTTTGGAGAGAGACAGAGATAAATCTTTCTTAGAAATTGACTTGAATTTGCACTCTCAGTCTTCCTGGTGAAATGCATTTCTCTTAGGCATCCAACAACTGCAAGGGGACAGATTTATAGGCCATGTGCTTCTTGTACTGAAAGATTTAAATGGTAAATCCTTCACATATGACTTCACAAATCATGTAAAGTTAAAAGATTTTTACCGTTTCTGTTGCTGCTGTGCTTAAATTGTAAGGTACAGCTAGTAAATCATTTTAATGGAGGTGTCGTACTTGACTCACGAAAAAAAAAAAGACAGTGGTTTAGCTTCCACTCCAAAATGTTAATGTATTAATCAACGGGAGAATAATTGTTTTTTACTATGTTATAAATCTCATGTGCCATTAGGATTTCAGCAAAGGGTGATGTAGCCACATTCCTAAATTAAAATTGTTTACACTTTCATACATCCATTCTGCATCACCATAGCTCATTCTGGGTTCATTTTGGAGTTGTTCCCCAGCCAAACATGCCATTCTCAGTCAGAAGACAATATCCTGAGGGAGCGATGCTTATAAAGGAAAATTAATTGCATTGCAGTGTGCTAAATAAATAAAATAAAAGCTGTCCGTGGCGATGGACGATTATTCCTTGCTGTCACTTTTTTTTTAAATAGGTTTGTAGGTTGAAGCGTACTCCCTCACACATTGTCAGTGTAGCAGGCGTGTCACATATCCTTAGTTCCCTGGTGTTGGTTTTACCTCTATACAGCTGTGCCTTTTGAGTGCCTTGCTCTCCCTGTGAGCATTCCTACCAAGGAGTAAGTCATGTGGCGTCTATAGAAAGATTCTCTGTCTTCCCCTCCACAGTACCTATGATAACCTCAAGGTGCCATCTGTGGTGCCCATAGATAGTTAGGTCAGCCCGCTTAATTATTAGGAGCTGCAAGGTGGATATGCACACAGTGGGTGATAGTTGAGGCTGAGCAGGCTCCATTCTCCCCTCCCAACCTCTTGAAGCTGCTTCTACATGCAGTAACACTCCTGGGCTGCCTATAATGAAATTGCCTTGTGGGGAGAACAGATCAATTCAACCCTGGACAGGTCAGTCTGTTCCCTCAGTGTAGCTTGATCCATCTAGATTCTGACTCCTCCATTTAAAAAAAAGGTGACCTTCTGACCCTGGAGGCAGTGTCCCCAGGGCTTCTGGTGTCTTATAATAAACTCTACATCCCTATTCCTCTTCTGATTTCAACAGATTCTCGAGCAGGTGAGGAGGGCGCCATCAGGGCGGTGGACCACGCAGTGATTGGCGGCGTAGTGGCTGTGGTGGTGTTTGCCATGCTCTGCTTGCTCATCATTCTGGGCCGTTATTTTGCCAGACATAAAGGTAAGCAAGGTGTTTTGGCAGGCTGGAGCAACCTGTCGCCACAGTCCCTGAAACGGGGAATCTACAAGATTATTGTCAATAGGCTGTTTGATGTAACTAATGACACAGTCTATCTGATTCCTGAAATTGGAGATGGTGGGGCCAGGGGAAAAATAAAGAAATCTTAGCAACTGCTACTGAGGACTCTGCGAGTTCATTTGGATTTCCTCTAACTATAAAGCTTTATAGGTTTGTTCTCTAATCTGTATTTGGGGATAAAGTCAAAATGAGGTTGGGGATAAAGTCAAAAGTAAAGGTTGGTATGCAAAGTGGTGTGAACCCTGGCATATCCACAACCTACCCATTGCCAGGAGACAGGATGACTAGTTCGCTGACCCTGATCTCTGACTAAGCTGGTACCCAGGGCTAGAACACTTCCTTAATGTGATGTGCCCAGGTTTAAAAAAAAAAAATTCCTTTGCCTTAAAAGCCACATAAATATGTATTTTTAAATTATCAGGGCAATTGATTTAAATTGCCATTAATCATCACACTTACCAACTGTGCAGACTGGATGGGCAATCATCTTTGCCAGTGCTCTTCCTCTCTGCCTCATGCTGCTCTGAGCCTCTTCTCCCCTCCTGGTAATTTAGTCTTCCTCTTCCCTGTCGGCCCTTGTCTTTCTCATCTGTTTTTCTAAAGCACTGCAATGAGCTTGTGGGGTTTGGTAGGTACTTGCATACTGCTTGATTGTGACGGGTTTGGGGAAGGTCCCTGGAGCACAGCAGTGGAGGTCCAGGAAATTTGACAACAGCCTTTAGGATATGAAGTATCTGTCTTTAGCCCAGAACAGTTTGGGACTCTCAGAACTGGGTACACAGGGCCAAGATCTTTCAGTGCTTAGTTTGGTAGCGGTGGGAAAGTAAAGCCAGGGAGCCAGGCAGAGCCTGAACAGCATCTGTGGAGGACCAGGGGAAGAGGGCAAAAGAGAGGACACAGGAAAGAAGTGCTTGACCATCTGCTTTCTCAACTCATCAGTTTAAAAATCTGAAAAATGCAGCAAAATGTCTCAAGCTTTTTAAGTGTAAGAATCTAGGGATGGTACATAATGGGAGAAGGGCTGTTTGATGACACTGGGCAGTTCGAGTTCTCCCTTCCTACTATTCTGAGGTTCGGTCTTGTCTTTTTCCATGTAAACTCTTGGGATTTGGTGATAAGGATGTCACCAACTTCGTTAATGTTCTGTCTATTGTCACTATAAAGTGGCTGTGCCAATTAGCAAATTCATGAATCCGGGTCCAGGCTCCAGTCACACGGTGAGAGAATTACTTGTTCATGAAGACAGAGCCCAAGCCTTGATTGCAGCCGTTATAATGTTGTTATTTCTTGATCTGGTACCCCACTCTGAAATGGGAGGCAGAGGGAAATCAAACATCCTTGTGCAAGTTCAAGCACGTTCTCACCTGTGGGTAGCCACTAGTGATTCATGAAGCCAGGAGACTGTGGTTGGAGTAAAGGATTCAAGATGACAGTAGAAGAGTCATCGGGGCCCTAATTCATTTATTGGCTAATTGCTCTTCCTTGCTTTGGTCTTTAACCATGTGTGTGCACATGTCTGGTCATCGGTCCTTGGTGCTTACTGTCTGTGTGTTAGTCAGCAGCTCTCCAGCGTTCTGCATTTTAGCTCCCACTCACGTCCTCTGCTGACATCCTCTGGTCATAATCACTGCTCTAATGTCTCATTTGCTGAATTATATCGCAGCGGTTCAGTTGGAGTGGTGCCTTTGGAACCCCGGATCCCCATTTGTCTCACCCACCTCGCTCTCTTCTTCCACTTGTTTTTTCCCCTCTGCTGCCTGCACACCACTTCGGCTGATGATGGCCATAAAGCAAGTTGCCATCTCTGTACCACTTTGCACAGAGGCCATCAGACAGTCACGGTGCTTTACCCCTTCATCTTTCAGGTACATACTTCACTCATGAAGCCAAAGGAGCCGATGACGCAGCAGACGCAGACACAGCTATAATCAATGCAGAAGGAGGACAGAACAACTCTGAAGAAAAGAAAGAGTACTTCATCTAGATCAGCCTTTTTGTTTCAATGAGGTGTCCAACTGGCCCTATTTAGATGATAAAGAGACAGTGATATTGGAACTTGCGAGAAACTCCTGTGGTTTTTTTATGAATGGGTGGAAAGGTGTGAGACTGGGAAGGCTTGGGATCTGCTGTATTAAAAAAAAAATGTTCTTTGAAAAGTACACTCTGCTGTTTGACACCTCTTTTATCTGATTTTGGTTTGGGATTTGGGGGGGGTTTGTTTTTGGTTTTGTTTTTCTTCCTCCCAAGTCAAACTTGGATACTGGATTTCATTTCAGTAGATTGCAGAAAGTTCTGTGCCTTGTTTTGCATTTCTTTGTTGTGTTCCCCCCACACACACCCTTTTCCTTTTGATGCATTAATTTTTCCCCAAAATAAATTTGGGGTGTTTTATTTCCCCCCAAACCTCCCATTTTTGGAATTTACCTGCTGGGATTCCTTAAGACTCTTCCCATTTTTGTTAGGGGTTTTTCCTTTTGTTTGTGTTTATGGTAACGGCTTTCTGTTCCAAATTCAGTTTCATAAAGGAGAACCAGCACAGTTTAGATTTCATAGTTCAGAATTTAGTGTATCCATGATGCATTCTTCTCTGTTGTCGTAAAGATTTGGGTGAAAAACAATGAAAACTCTTTGCTGCTGCCCATGTTTCAAATACTTAGAAGCAGCAAAGACTAGAAAATTAGACTGTGACTCAGAAACTGTTGTGTTTGCTGTGGAACTACATTACTGTACAGGGTTATCTGCAAGTGGGGTGTGTCGCAATGAGATTGACTCTGTCTTTAATTCTGTATCTGTAGGCGGCTCAGTATAGATACCCCATGCTGTCCAGAAAGGTTTGAGGTGGAAGGTCTCCTCCTTCCTCAGTGCCCTAAGCAGACCCGACAGGTGAGGTCTGTCCCTTTTATTTAAGTGGACAAATTTGAGTTGCCACAGGAGGGAAAAAGGGGAGGGCAAGACAGTTCTGCTCTGGTTATTTCTGTTCCAAACAATTCCATCCACCTTTCCCAATCGGCCTTACTTCTCACTAATGTGTAGGAAAAAACAAGTCCACGTGTCGTACGAATGACTGAAGGGGACAGGTTTTTGTTTTGGTTTGGTTTTGGGTTTTTTTCTTTCCTTTGTGCTTAGTTAGCAAGGCAGTAGGATGTGACCTGCATGTACTGTATATTACAGATATTTGTCCTGCTGGGATTTCCAACTCGAATCCCTATGAAACTCTCATTCCTTCAGATTTGGCTTGGCAAAGGCGGGAGGTACAGAGGAAGGGCCAGTATTGTTCTCAAGACTGGTCAGCTGTCAGTCTCAGTTCTTGGAAGGTCAGAGCCGAGGTGGAAAAACAGCATGTAGAGATTTTCAGTTACTTAATCAAAACTCAAATGTGAGCGTTTTTATCTTTCTACCTTTCATACACTAGCCTTGGCCTCTTTCCTCAGCCTTAAGAACCGTCTGCCAAAAAAAATTCCTGATCTCGCATGATGGCAGCCATAGCGCATAGCTACTAAAATAAGTTACCTTGAACATATCTTAGACGGAGCCTTGGGAGCAGGTAGAGGAGTCAAGTTACCATTTGCATTTTTTTAAAGCAATGTGGGGATTTTCACCGAAATGTCTAGGAAATCTAGAAGTAGTCCTGAAGGACAAAAACTAAACTCTTACCATATGTATTGGTAAGGCTCCAGACTCCAGATGACAGTCCCTATGGAAAGATGGCATAACATTTTCAGTGAGTACTTTTGGATTTTGCAAGGTGCATTTTTACTATTGTTACATTATGTGGAAAACTTACGCTGATTTATTTAAGGGGAAAAAAGTGTCAACTCTTTGTCATTTGAAAGCGTGTTTCTTTTTCTTGTCTTTATTTTAACCTTTGATAGAACCATTGCAATACTGGGGCCTTTTGGGAATGGACTGGTATGTAAAAGAAAATCCATTATTGAGCAGTGTTTTGTTGACCCCTCTCCTGTCCCTAGGCACTTAACCAAGACAAAAAGCCACAAGGAACATCCCTTTTTCAAGAATTTTATAATATCCATCTCTATTCCGAGCCCTTAGCACCCATCCTGACCATAGTGTAGCCATATCAAAAGGTGAGAAACATTTCGCATGTTGTTGAAAGGTTTTTTTCAGTTGTTCTTTTTAGAAAAAAAAAAAAAAAATTAAAAAAAAATCCAAAAAAAAAACCAAAAAAAAAACAAAAAACAAAAAAACCCTACCATTGTTCACAGAATTGGCATCTCATTTTCGGGACCGCCCATCTTTCTGTTCGAAACGTGTACAGTAGTGCGGTGTTCTGATGTAATTTTATGGCTTACAATGTTGACATGTCTCAGGTTCCTGTGTTTCGATTGGTGTTTTTCTGTCTCAGGTAGATTGCAAAGTGTAGGCCCCACACATTGGAATAATAATAATAATAATAATAATAATAATAATAATACAAAGCAAAAACAGGAAATTACGGATTTTAGTTGTATATTGGTTTATGTATTTTTCTTAAGTATACAGTGCACTGTTTGAAATGTATTGTTGAGTATTACTTTGTACAGGTTGGTCACTTTTTTAGAGTGAAGAAAGAACAAACTTGTTTTTTGTGTGTTTTTTAAAGGAATATAACGTAATGAAGGATGTATAATTGATGCCAAATAAGCTTGTTCTTTAGTCACACCGACGTCTCGTTTTTCCCTCTAGGCCAGTTCTGTTTTGGGGTGTACAAGGACCATGTTACAGTGTAAGAAACTCCACATCCATGTGTCCCATTCGCATTTTGTATTGGTTCATGTATACCATTTTTACAAAAAGAAAAAAGAAAAAAAAGAAGTACTATAAAATATCTGTCTTCTTAATAAAAAAAATTAATGTTACAAAGTGATCCTTTAAATCTCTTTCTGGATTCTTACAACATCCGGCCTCTGGTCCCAGCTTCCTCTCCTAGGACCTTGTATGGGGACCAGAGCACTGGCAGTGGTTGCTGGCAAGTGGCCGCCAGCCCAGTTTTCTTCTCTCTTCTCTAGTCACCCTTCCTGTCCTCTGTCTTCTACCCTCACAGCCAACAGGTGAGCCCCGTGCTTGGCTGAATGGAGTCACCCCTAGTGGATGCAGTGATTTGTGCAGGCCGCAGCTGCCCAGGATGGCCCCTCCTGTGGATGTGTCCACCACCTTCCCTGCCCACCTTCACCCACCACCCCCACCAACTTTCCTGTGTTGCCTGCTCCACCCGTCTCTTTCTTGGGATTTCGTGTCTTAATGATTCATACTGCTTTCTTCCTTTAAAATTCTTTCTCCTCCACAAAATGAAGACACGAGCTGCTAAGAGCTGGCTCGGCTGCCTGCAGATTGTTTTCCCTTACCGTTCAGGTTTTGGAGACTTCCAGGACCAGAGGGACTGCGGGATTCAGCCTGGTGCCACCATCACCCTTGCCTTGAAGGCAAAGTGAGGAATGACCGCACTTGATCAGAGAGCAGGAGATCTTTGACCAACCCAAAACCCCTTCTCACCATTCACCCAGCCATGGTTGAGCTCCCCTCCCCCACCTCTGTCTCAGTCAGGTAATGGGGAAGGCTCAGCAGGGACAGACAGGTAAGCTCCAAAAAAGAGAAAGGCTGGGGTCTCACTTTGATTTCTTCTATCCTGGTCTGGTCTCTTGCGGGTCTCTGAGAAAACAACAATAACAAAATGTTCAGTTATGCAGTCATTGAGTATCTGGCGTATGAGCATTGTTGGGGACACAGAGGAGTGTAAGGTCTCCGGAAGCTAACCAGGGTATTGCACCACATGAAGTGACCTCCATTATCAATGTCAAGCATAATGTAATAAAGAATGCAGAAAGCAGTGGGAATTTCTTGGGGAAGGGAAATAAGAGCAAGCTGGTAGGTCAGACAGCAGCTCAGTGGAGGAGCTGGGAGCCTGGCCAGGTTTCCAGAGGTGGGAGAGTGGAGAAGACAAGTGAGTCAGAGGTGAAGAGGGCAGTCAGCCCGTCCAGCCCCAGGGTGTGTGTGTGTGTGTGTGTGTGTGTGTGTGTGTGTGTGTGTGTGTGTGTAATAAAGTGAATCTCGGGGGCTTATAGGATGGGTTCTGTCTGTGGCTGTCCTGAAAGAGTTCACTAGCCTCTGCCAACTCTTGCCAGAGGACAGGGTGAAATGTGGAGGACAAGAAGGACAACTTAGGGTAGCAGTCAAGATGGAGGACTACAGTGGACTTACCCCACTGTTAACTATCTGTGAAACCTCAGGAATGGTGCCCAGCACATCTGATCTTTGCCTCTTGCTAGATAAGGTGGCACTTGTCATAACCACAAAGGTTTTTAGGAAAGAGAAAATAAGCAATCATGGGCTGGGAGTAGAGCTCAGTGGTAAAGCCTGTGCCTGGCATGCTAAGGTCTTGGGTTCAATCTTCAACACTCCCCAAAAGATAAGACATCAGTGCTTGAGAAATAAGGTTACAGACAGGAAGTAAACACTCAGTGCATGTTCATCATACTGTAAGAGGCAAATGTAGATTTAAAAGACAAGGTTTCCCATGCCTACAAGAAGTGGTTATCCCTTGGAGAGAATTATTTGGACTGCATGTATGGACACACTGCGGCCCTATGAATATTTTTGTAGCATAATTAAGGACCCCTTCCCCATCATGATTCATCAATGTAATTTCAGGCTACATGGCATGCTATATGTGTAATATCCCTACCCATCTTCCCCTTGTCTATAGCATGAGGCTCCTCCAGATTGAGCTGTAACCCACAGACCAAAAACCCCAGACATTCACTGAACTGAGGCAGACATGAAGTAGCAACTTTGCCATTGAAGCACCACAGGGCGTCCAAATGAGAAGACTCTAGAAGCAGCTTGAGTTCCTGGGAGGTTGATTAAGTTGCCTGGTCCTCCATGCCTCTTGGTATAAGAATGAAGATGGTCCTCACTTCCTCCAGAGGGTTTTCACCCGTATTCTGACCTGGTTGTGTTCTCCAAATACATCAGCTGGAACCCTGCCATGATATCGGGTGTTAATTGGCGCAGTCTTTCACTGTCCTCTGTCTACTTGAAATGTAACTCTTGCTCTGCTATGGACTTGCTCCATGGAGAGCTGTCCCTTTAAGTCTGTTATCCGGAGCCTTACAGCAATCATGCCATCACCACATGACAAGTAGAAAGACCCTCCTTAAGTGAGATATTTGGGTTGCATTACAAGTTTTGCCTCAGAGTCCAATACATCTTTTTGCCAAGGTGCCACAAATATTTAATTATGGAGAACCGGCAATCAAATGCCTTGGGTGACATTAGTATTCACAACCACACAGATAGGTCAGAAAAACTTCCAAGATGAAACTGGAATGGCTGACCCCACTACATAGTCAAAATAAGAAGGGACTCTTCACCCAAATAACCTGTGACTACAAAATCAAGGTCATAGCAGACACATGGTGGGCTCTGGGCAAGCAGAGGGAATTAAAGGGTGAGCAGTCAAGTGCTTGGTGGCTTGAGACCAACTTTGTTCTTAGTCTCTGTTTCAACCTTGGCATTTGAAACTCCATCCTCAATTAGGTACTTTCGGTGGGCCTTGTAGACATGAGCCCACCACTGAGTTTAGTGACTTTGGTCCCATCAGTCTCCAGGGCCTGTTAGACCAGCATACCTGTTCCCCCTTCCAGGGAATGACCTTTTGAGTAACAGCTGAGGGAAACTGTACAGTAACACTTATCCTAAGGAAACTTCAGAATGAGGTACCATGGGCTAGAAAATTCAAACTATGTTCCTTGCCTTATTTGTGTTCGTATTGAGATGTTAAAATGTGTCTCTAATAAGAGCTGCAGGATTCAATGTCATGGTGAGTGTTGGGGGGCGGGAGTTAGGAAGAGGGTGGTGGGCACCAAGATAATGTGAACACAGAAAATCCACGCCTAAAAGCAAAAATCTTATGTTTTCAAATCTTCCAATCAGCATCCGGGACTTTCCTACACTTGGGAACTATATGTATGCCTTGGTTTTATGTTTTTCCATGCCCAAGAGCTTAAAATATATACTTCCCCTGGTGGCCAGTACAGGAACTACAACTCAAGTCTTACCTTTTAAAATGTAGCATTCATTCTGAGGAGGAACCAGACTTCACGTCTACTGCCTTTTCTCTGTCGCGAAAGCATGCACGCCCACCCTCCCGGCTCTCTTTTTACTGCCTCCTAATCCTCTATAAAGTGTTGGGCTGGGAAGTGAGGCCCACTACTGCGGAGCAAAGCAACCCACGCTCTGGGCCGTGACCTCTCCGGCGCCCCTCCAAACACGCACTGGCTCACGCTCATATTTCAGACGTGCCTGCCTTAAATCTTCCTTAAGTGCTATCTTCTCAGGTTAATTAATCACAAGGCTTAAACTTGCTGTTACCAGCAGGAGTCCATCCTGAAGTCAGCAATGTTACGATTGCATCTTCTAATACTGTTTATCCTGCATTAGTGTTTACTTAGGGGGAAAATTGATCCGTAATTGATATTTCAGTCTTCCAGAGCTGGTGTTGGAAGAGCCTAATGCAAGCCTTTAATAGCAAGCAAATATTTAAATCCTTTAATGGCTGCTGAATATTGAAATGTGTGACTTTATTACTCTTTTTTGGTTTGTTCTCTCTGTAGTTGTGTATTTCATCGTTTAATCTGGCAACGGATGCGGGCAGGCTCCAGTCTGGCTAATCCACAAAAGCATTTGCCCAGACCCAGCGGTCCTGATTAAAAAGT